CGTGAGTGTGCGGCGCGGCCCCTCGGCCCCTCACTCACCCGCACGCCCGCGCGCTCACACACGCCCCCGCTGACGTCAGCACGAGCCGGGAGGGCCGGGGCGCGGGTCCTCCCCGCCTTTAAAGGGACGCCGGGCTCTGCGGCCTCCAGCCAGGCCCCGGGGGGCGGGGCCGGCCGTGGCTCTCAGCCCCGGAGCTTCTGGTTTGGCAAAGTGGCTTTTATTGCTGGGCCGGGGTGTAATTTGCCCCGCCGGGCCAGGGAGCTGCGGGGACGCGGGGCAGGCACCAACAGCGGCGCGCAGGTGGGGTGGGGGGACCCTGCTCGCAGAGCCCCTGGAGAGTCCACATCACACAACCCGGGGTCTATACTCAGCCCCCTGCCCAGTGCCCTTGGGCCCCTCCTTTAACACGGTGGTCCCCTGAGACTCCCCAGAGTGAGGACTCCCAGCCCAGGGCCCTGGGGTGCCGGAGGCCTCCTTCCACCTCAGCTTAGGCTGGGAAGGAGTCTTCCCTGGGCCACTTAGTACTACTGAGCAGGCCCGCATTTTCAAACGAGGTTTATTAAAGTAAGACGTGGGGGGTGCGCTGGCACATGCCCATAATCCCAGCTACTCAGGAGGCTGAGGCAGGAGGATTGCAAGTTTGAGGCCAGCCTAGGCAATTTAGTGAGACCTTGTCTCAAAAAGAAAAAAAAAAAAAAAAAAAAATATCTGAAAGGATAGGTGAGTGTAATGTGCTGAGGGATCCTCTGACAGGGGATGAGCTTTGACCTCATTTACACCTTGCACTCAGTCATGCACTTCTGAGCCATTATGGGACTGCTGAGGCAGGACTCTCCAGCATCATCCATCAGCCACTGGCTAGAGGGTGTTTGGGGCAGGGCCACTCCACACCACCACACATCCCACCTTCCAGAACCTTCCAGAACCTCCCAGAACAACCGGGCTCAGACCCTTCTAATTTCTGACTATATAGGAGAGACTGGAGATGAACACTGCCAGGGGTTCCCTGGGGCTGAGTTCTGACTGTATTCCACCTCTGGTCCAAGGGCTCCACTCAGAGGAGCTCCCTTCCCCCTATGAATTCTCAGATTCGGTCTTCCTCCCCGTCAAAGAGAACCATTTTCAAAGTGCTCACCCATGGGTGTGATGCTGTGTGCCTGTGACCCTAGCAGTCTGGGAGGCTGAGGCAGGAGGATGGCATGTTGAGTAACTCAGTGATTTCAGCAAGACCTCATCTCAAAAAACGAAGGAAGGGATGCCTGATGTGGTGGCTCATGCCTGTAATCCTGGCACATGAGAGGCTGAGGCATGAGGATTGCTTCAAGTCCCAGGCCAGCCTGGGCTACAGTGTGTTCAAGACCAAACTGGAGGGGCTGGGCATATAGTTCAGTGGCACAAGCGCCTCCCTGGCAAGCACAAGGTCCTGAGTTTGATTCCCAGTACCTAAAAAAGAAAAGACCAACCTGGACTACACAGCGAGACCATCTAAAAAAAAAAAAAAAAAAAAGGAAAAAAGAGGTGGGTGAAGTGGGGCTGGGATGCAGCTCAGTTCAAAGGCCGTGGGTTCAAAACCCCTCTCAGGCAGCATCTCTCCTGCCTGGAGGAGACTGCTCAGTAGCAGCTGAGGGGCTTCGTGTCAGGTGGCCAAAAGCAATGATGTGACAGATTAGGAGCCTAAATCTGGGTCTCTGCACTTGTTTCTCAAGCACACCCACCTGCCCTCTGGGAGCAACCCTGGGGTTCAGTGGGCACCTGTGACGCTCCTGCCCACGCACTGCCACCCTGCTGACACCTTGGAAACCACCCCCCAAGTCCTCAGGACCCTGGCCTGGCTGGGACCCTGGCTGCAGAGGTGGCGCAGAGCCCAGCTCTCCTTTCAGTGGCAGTTGGCGGCTGCCAGCCGAGAGCTGGAGGGTTTCTGGAGCTCCCGGTGACAGGAAGGACCAGGCTTGCCAGGACCTCGGGAGAAGTCACAGCCGGGGGAGCAACAGGGAGAAGGCTGGTGTGGCAGGCCGGTGGGTATGTGAGTGGTGTTTCTTTTTTTATTGGTGCTTTTTGAGACCAGGTCTCACTGTACAGTTCAAGCTGGCCTTGAGCTCACTCTGTAGCCCAGGCTGGCATTGAACTCGCAGTGATCCTCCTGCCTCAGCCTCGCGAGTGCTGGGATTACAGACCGGCAGCACCCTGCCTGCCTCAAGGGCCAGCTCTGAGGAGGCTGAGGCCTGGTCTGCCGCGGACAAGGTCAAGGCCAGGGCTGCAGACCTGAGCCCTCCCTCGGCGTCTGGGTTTCCTGTCCCCAGCCCGCGTGTGCTGAGTGAGGCTGGCTGGCTGGCGCGGTAGTGTGATCTGGGCTGGCACAGCTGTTCATTGAGGAATGAGCAGCCGAAGCACCGCCCACCCGCCCACCAGCCGCTGAGTAACAAAGAGATCCTGCAGCTTGCAACCGGTCTCCGAGAGGCTATTTTTGTGAAAAGCTGAGAATTCCAAAGCTCATCTCCTCCAAAGAAAGAAAGAAAGGAAGGAAGAAAGCCTCCCTCGGTGGAGCAGCCGAGCAGTCCCAATCCTGCTGATTCCACCTGAGCTGTGAGTCTCTTCCTGTCACTGCCAGCGCCGGGAACAGGCCAGGACCATGTGGCTTTGAACCCATATAACCCTTGAAGGGACAGAGACCCTGAAGGTGACAGGGCCACTTCTCAGTGATGTGGAAGGTCAGATACAGAGAGGGTAAGAAACCCGGCCAACCTGACACAGCCCGAGATGAAGCTGGGCTTAAAATGCAGAGGCTCTAAAGCTGAATGTGGTGGTGCACACCTGTAATACCAGTTCTAGGGAGGCTGAGGCAGGAGGATCACTGTGAGCTCAAGGCCAGCTTGTACTTCATAACAAAACGCTGCCAAGACAAAAATAAAGAAAAGAAAAAGAAAAGAAGTGCCCACATGAAATGAGGCATGGTGGCACCAACCTGTAGGCCCAGGCACTCCAGAGGCTGAGGCAGGAGGATCACCAAGAGTTTGAGGCCAGTCTGGGCAACACAGTGAGATCTTGACTCAAAATAAAAAGAGAAAAAATTCTAATTAAACAAAACAATACAGCCGGGCATGGTGGCACACACCTGTAATCCCAGCACTTGAGAAGCTGAAGCAGGAGGATCGTTGGGAGTTCAAGACCAGTCTAGGCTACAAGGTGAGCTCCAGGCCAGCCTGAACCGCATAGCGAGACCCTGTCTCAAAAAGACAAAAAACAAACAACAAAAAAAACAACCACAGAGCCCCCATGAGCACGGCTGGCCATGCAGACAGACAGGCCAGGTCGTCAGCCCCTCCTCCACCCCTACCGCCTGCAGAGCCCTCTGAGACTTCCCATCGGATTGGGAGGATCTGCTGTCCTGACACCTGGGAGCTTGCCGGTTGTCATGGAAATGCTTTTCTCTTTCTCTGGCTGCTAGAGAGCTCAGGGTCAAATTCTTCGCCCACCAGTGAGTTCCCCGGATCAGGTCTAGCTCAGGGCTAATCTTTTCTTCTTTCTTTTTGAGACAAGGTCACACTATGCAGTTCAGGCAGACCTTGAACTCACTTTGTAACCCAGGCTGGTCTCACACTCGCAGCAATCCTCCTGCCTCAGCCTCTCAAGTGTTAGGACTACAGGTGTGCACCACTACTCGTGGGCCTTTGGTAAATTTTATTTTGATTTTTTTCTCTTCTTTTGAGACAGCATGTCATCATGTATTGCAGGCTGGCCTTGAACTCACTATATAGCCCAGGCTGGCCTCAAACTCTTTGGTCATCCTCCTGTCTTGAATGCTGGAATTACAGGACTGTGCCATCACACCCTGCCTTAAATTTTACTTTGAGATTGCTTATGAAGTTCTCCAGGCAAGCCTGGAACTTGCGGTCCTCCTGCCTCATCTTCCTGAGTAGCTGGCGTTATGGGTGTGTGGCACTGTGCCTGGCTACTGGTACATTTCTAGACACCAGAGAATGAACAGTGAGCAAAACAGACAAAATTTCTGTCTTTGTGATGCTGACAGCCAAGCAGGCAATAAAAGGATCTAATACTATAATTATAATATGTCTGTCGGAAGGCAATAAATGCTCAGGAAAACTATTAAACAGGGCGCTGGGGCTGGGCGTGGTGGTGCAAGCCTGTAATCCCAGAGCTCGGGATCTTGATTTTTTTTTTTTTTTCCCAGTACCAGGAATCGAACTCATAACCTTGCGCTTGCCAGGCAGGCGCGGTGCCACTGAGCTAAATCCCCAGCCCCTTCACTCAGGATCCTGAATCAGAAGAATTCCTGCAAGTTCAAACCCAGCCTGAGCTACCTAGTGAGGCCCTGTTTCAAAAAAACAAAAGATAAACAAACAAACAAATAAAGTAAAACGGTAAGTCTCATACCCACTGCTTTTACTTTACATTTTTAGACTAAATAATATACTCAGAATATCATTCTACAGCAGTACGCAGAAAGCATCCTCAGGCCATCCTCTGGGGGTATACCCTGTGATCCCAGCTATGGGGGAGGCTGAGGCAGGAGGATTGCAAGTGCGAGGTCAGCCTGGGCAACATAGCAAGATCCTGTCTCAAAACAAAAAAATACAAAGGACTGCGGCTTTCGCTCAGTGGAATGGCTCTGTTTTTAATCCTGAGTACAGGGAACAAAAGCATTCTTATTCTTTGATATGGCTTCGTGCTTTTCTGTTGCATGATGTACCTCATGTTCTTTCCCAAGGCCAGTGCTCTGCTGATAGAGCCCGTTGAGGCCCATTCTGTCCTTAGCCCCCTCCCGCAGAGTGGCCAGAGGCGCTGGGAGGCTCCCCGTCCTGTCCTGTGCAGTATGTGGCGTGGGAGCCCGAGCCGTCCAGCCCTCTCTTCCGGCTTTGATCAGTTCCCTCTTGCTGTGACCCTCAGCCATCATTGGCTATGCTTTGTCCATTCACATGGCTCAGGTTTGCAAGCATGGCTCTGTGCCAGGCACTGGGCTGGGCCCAAAGGCCATGTGGTCCCCCGATAGAGACGTCCTCTGCTGTCACGGAGGCTGTGGACCAAGTCGCCAGGGTGGTTTTGGAAAGCGCTTCCAATGCGCCCTGGAGCGCTGGGGGGAATTAATAGAGGGGCCTGTCCTGGCTTCACAGCAAGGAAACCATCCTGCCAGGGCATCATTGTTGCAAGCCTGGGAGCCGAAACGAGAAAGGAAGACAGGGGACCTGGAACACTGTGCCCGCAGCCCCCCAGCCTGGACCCTGGCCAGGTTCCCATGTGGTGAAAGGCTGAGCCTCAGCGCTGGCTCCTGTCCCTCTGTCCCCCAGGCCACCCACCCCTCTACCTCCTAGAGACCTCTGGCTCTGCCCAGCCGCTCCTGGCTCTGCCCCAGCCCCTTTGTACCTGCAGTTCCTGAAGCTCCTGTGTCACTGTGTCGTTTCTCTGGGCCTCAGGATCACGGGCTCTGGTTTCTTTTTTTGGTACCAGGAATCGAACTCTGGACCTTGTGCTTGCCAGGCAGGCGCTTATGCCACTGAGCTATATCCCTGGCCCAGGATCATGGGCGCTGGAGCTGGGTGCCAGCTCTGTGTCACATGAGTTGTGTGACTTTGGACAACTTCCCTGACCTCTGTGTCCTGGGTAGGGAAAAAGGAGATAGTAAGTGAGGTTGGAAGATGTTGCCGCTGGAGTCTGATACAGCATGTGCCTGGCACGGGCTGGCTTCCATCCGTTTGGAGGGGTGGGATATAAGAGCAGCTACCTTATGAGTTGTTGTGAGGATAAAAATTAATATAAACAGCTGGACATGGGGTGCACAACTGTATTCCCAACAGTTGGAAGGCTGAGGCAGGGGGATTGCTGTGAGTTCAGCACCAGCCTGGGCTACATAATAGGTTCAAGGCCAGCTTGAACTACAAAGTCTCAAACATCCTCAAACCAACCAAACAACAATGGCAAAAAAATATTCAGGTATTCAGGTGTGGTGGTGCACACCTGTGACCCTAGCACTCTGGGAGGCTGAGGCAGGAAGACTGCTGAGAGTTTGAGGCCAGTGGGGCTACATAATGAGTTAAAAAAAAAAAAAAGAGATGCAGGAGTCAAAATTAATATTCCTTTTTCTTTCTTTCCTTTTTTTCTGTCTTTCTTTTTTGGGGGGTGGTACCAGGAATCAAACTCAGGACCTCACCTCTGCCATGCAGGCACTGTGGCACAGAGCTAAACCACCATTTTTTTTCCTTCTTTTTTATTGTTTATTCATTTATTTTCTCGAGACAGGTTCTTGCTATGTATTTCAGGCTGGCCTTGAACTCACAGCAATCCTTCTGCCTCAGCCTCCTGAGTGCTAGGATTAGGGTCATGCATCAACACACCCAGCTGGATTGTTATTTTGGTTAAAACGTACTACAATATTTTCCCAACTTTTTGTTTTGTTTTGTTATTGTGGTATTAGGAGTTGCACCAGGGGCCTTGCATTTAGCTACATCCTCCAGCTCCTTTTAATTTCATTTAATTTCTCATTTTATGAGAGTCTTGCTAAATTGCTAAATTGACCTGGGCTGGGTTTGAATTTGAGATCCTCTGTCTCAGCCTCTGGAGTGCTGGGATTGCAGGTTGACACGAACACATCTGGGTATATTGGCGTTTGCTGTTTTTTGTCTTTTTGAGACAGGGTCTCACTCTGCAGTTCAGGCTGGCCTTGAACTCGCAGTGATCCTCCTGCCTCATCCTGTCCAGTGCTGGGATTACAGGCGGGCGCCACCACACCGGGCTCTTTATATTGACGTTTTTAAAGATAACTCTGGCTGCAGTACAGAGGAAGTTTTAGACAAACAAGGAGGACATGTATGGCTCAGTCCCCGCGAGCGATGACCCAACTTGGATGGCGGTAAAGGTCGCTTAGCAACCAGAAAGCGCTGCAGTTGCTACGGTTTGATAGCTTCGCGCAGGTTAAAGGAGGTCCCACCCCGTCCATCTCCATGCCCCGCCCCCGCCCCGCGCAGGAGCCTGTAAGCAGCCCGGTCCAGGGTCAGGGGGCGGGCAGAGGCTTCCTATTGGTCTACTCTCCGGAAGCGACAGGATTCGGATCCTCGCGCACGTCGTGTAATCCTGAGGCCGCTGGGTGAAGGGACGCGGTGCGTGGCGGCCCCGAGTGGTGCGGGCAGGAGCCAGGTGGCCGGATTGGGCACCCCTAGAGCTACGTGGAGAGCTGCTCCCGCCGGGCCTCGGTTTCCTTCCGTGGCAGTGGTGGAACACGGCTCTCATGGGGCCCCCGAGGCCCAGCTCGCTCTCCCCGCTGCCGGCCTGTGTTGGCGGGTGGGGGTGGTGGGATCTCAGCGATGGTGCGGGCACCGAGGGGGATCGGGTCCCCACCGTCCCCGGGCCCCGGTGCGTGACCAGCTCTCCGGTTCCCAGAGCGCCCTGAGGAGGCGGGATGTTCGTCCTGGTGGAGATGGTGGACACGGTGCGGATCCCCCCGTGGCAGTTTGACAGGAAGCTCAACGACTCCATTGCCGAGGAGCTGAACAAGAAATTGGCCAACAAGGTACGGGGTTGGCGCGCGGGCCCAGGGAGCGCCCAGCCACGGCCTTGGGCAAGTAGCGGGATGGGGCGCGGTGCTGCCAGCCCCGCAAGGAGCTTGGAGGGCATCAAAAGGGAAACATGGAGCCGGGCGTGGTGGTGCTTGTCTGTAAAATCCCCGCACTCTGGGAAGCTGAGGCAGGAGCATCACGAGTTTAAGTTCAGTCTGGGCCACTTAGTGACTTAGTTAGACCCTGACTCAAAATAGAAAAGGGCCAGGAGGTAGCCCAGGTGGAAGGCCCTGGGTTCAGTCCCCAGACCAGAGTAAATAAATAGTGACTACAAGTAGGAAGCCCTGGATTCTACACTTCCCATCACTCTGCCGTCTCTGACAAGTCATTCTGTCCGGGCTTCAGTTTCCAGTGTGTGGGGTTTGCTGTCCGCAGCTTTCTCATCCATTCCTGCGCACCTGTGTGGCCTGCCTCTTGCCTCCGGCTGGCTCCTGCCATCACTCTCCCCTCCTCAGAACTCATCACACTTCTTCTCTTTTTGTTTTTCTCCCTTCCTTGCCCCCTTTCTCCCTTCCTTCTGTCCTTCTTTTCTCCCTTCCTTCTTCCTGTTTTTGGAGACAGAATCTCGCTGTGTAGCCCAGACTGGACTCGAACTTGCAGCAATCCCCCTGCCTCAGCCTCCTGAGTGCTGCGATTCCAGGCACTCATACCTCACCTGGAATTTCCTTGTTTATCTGTGCACGTACTTGGGTACTGCTTTTCCTTTTCCCTCCCCTAGTCTGTTTTCTTCCCCGAAGTCCCCCACACTTAGCCAGAGTCTGGCAGAGCGGCTGCTCTCTACTTACCTGTGGATTGGATGGAGGAAAGCGGGGAGGCGCTGCCTGGGGTGCGGTGGGGGAGTGGAGGAGGAGTTGGGGAAGTGCCCTGCAGGACACCTGTGTCACCCACCTGTGCGCCCGTGGAAGGTGGCGCTGGAGCTGAGATCCGATGGTGTGGAGCTAATGGGGTGTTCATTTTTGGGGGTGTGGAGTCGGGGGTGCAGAGAGAGCTGTGCAGGCAGCGGAATCGCAGGTTCAGAGGCCCCAGGAAGGAGGCACCCTAGCACCTGCCAGGGCACGGACACGGCTGGGGTGGCCGGGCAGAGGTAAAGCGGGGAGGGTGGGCTGGGAAGGCAGGTGGGAGCCTGGCCGCCGTCCCTGGGGCACCCCTCTTTGGGGTGCTGGTCTTCATCAGAGCGCAGCAGGAGGTGATGGGCCGAGAAGGGGCCCGGGAGCAGATTGGCTGCCTGGGCAGCAAGAGGTCCCTCCCAGGAGGACGGGTCGGGGGCATGGGGAGTATCACGGAGTCCTTGGTGATGGCTTCTGGTGACTTCGTGGGTAGAAGGTGGGCCGTGGTGGGGCATCAGGTGGGGGGGGGCGGCGGCGTGAGGGGACTGGGGGCCCTTTGGGGACAGAGCAGAGCCTTTGAGGGCACCCTGAAAGAGTGCTCATGTCCTTAGTGTCTGAAGCCAGCGGGGCTCAGCAGTGTCTGCTCCCTCCAGGGCTGGGGTGGGGGGTGACCTGGATGGCAGATGAGAGGGTGCAGAGCGCAGCTTGCTTGGGGCACCGTGGTGCGGACCTGGGTGTTCTTCGTGTGGCAGTGCCAGCGCCTCCGTGTCCCCCTCTGTCTGGGACGCGAGCCGGTGCGGCTGAGCCGTGGCTTTCATGCTCACCGGTGAGCACAGGCTTTGGGACACTGGACAGAGATTTAACGCGCGATTCCTTCCCTGAGCCTCACTGGTAACAACAAGGGTCCTTGACTGATTATTAGTTCTGACTTACGGGCCAAGCACTGGGATAGGGGCTTTACATTCATCCCTTCTGTTCATTTAACAACACTGCAGCAGGTCTTTCTTTTTCCTTTTCCTTCCTTCCTTCCTCTCTGGTATCACTATATAGCCCAAGCTGGCCTCAAAACTTGCAGTGATCCTCCTGCCTCAGCCTCCTGAGTGATGGGATCGCAGGTATGTGCCACCATGCCTGGCTTCTCTTTTGATGAGGTACTAGGGATTGAACCCAGGGCTCGCACACCGAAGTACATCCCCAGCCCTTTTTTTTTTCTTTTTTCTTTGCTGAGTTTCCCAGGCTAGGCTCAAACTTGTGATGGTTTTACCTCAGCCTCCCAGAGTACTAAGATTACAGTCGTGCATCACCACACCTGGCTAGTATTTCTTTTTTTGCAGATGGGGAAACTGAGGCTCAGACAGGCAGTCAGTGAGTGGTGGAGCTGGCACTGGAAGCTGGCTCTGTCTTGTCACCACGACCCCGCACTTGCCAGAGCTCTGCATCCTTCTAAGGTCCCATCATGTCACCCCCTTTACCTCCTGCAGAGTCACATTTCCATCTTTTCTTTGTTCTTGGTGGTGGTTTCTTGAGACAGGGTCTTGGTGTGTAGTCCAGGCTGGCCTTGAACTCACTGTGTAGCTAAGCCTGGCTTTCAATTCCCAGCAATCCTCCTGCCTCAGCCTGCTAAGTGCTGAGATTACAGGGATTTTAAGCATGTGCCACCACACCCAGCTCATTCCATCCGGTGCTGGTGGCTTAGTCACAAGCATCTCTGCAGAGCCTGTAGGGAACAGGTCCTGGGGTCATGAGCATGTGTCACACACATCCCTGCAGGTCGTGTACAATGTGGGACTCTGCATCTGCCTGTTTGACATCACTAGGCTGGAGGACTCCTACGTGTTTCCAGGGGACGGGGCGTCCCACACCAAAGGTGGGCCGGGTGCCCTCTCTTTCTGGGTCATGGGGTTCCATTTTGTTTGTTTGTTTGTGATGCTGGGGTGGAATCCAGGGCCTCACATGCTAAGCAAGTGCTCTATGCTGAGCCACATCCCTGCCCTCTCCCTTTTCAAGGCCGACTAATATTCCATTGTATGCACACCACGTTTTGTTTATCCCTCCATCCCTTGGTGGACATGTGCAGCCCACTACTTGTTTTTGTCTGTGGTTTCAGAGGGAGCTCCCTGGCACCAAACTCTAAGCCCAGTGCCCAAGCCAGGCCTGGCACCAACCTGGTGGAGGCTCTGCAGATATGTGAGACCTGGCTGGATGCTGGGTCATGTGGGGGATGGGCTCTTCATCCCTTGGCTCCTTGAGGCTCCCTGGGGGGAAAGCGAGGCTCAGGTCTTCTGGCTGCCTTGTTCTCCTCCCGCCTGTCTTGGGCACAGGAAAGCAGGTGGCACTGAGGCTGGGAGGATACAGCAGATGGAGCCTGTGAGGGGTGACCCTGCCCCAGGAAGGTGGGACTCCGCCTGCTGGCCTTGCTGGGGAAGGACTTGGAGTCCCCTGGGCGCATTGGGGCAGCACAGCTGTGTCACTCAGCCTCTCCGAGCCGCTTCCCCTCCCCACGATGACATCCAGGGCAGGGGGATCACGAACCCGCAGGAGGCTGCTCCTCGGTTACCGCCTGGGGGTGACAGTGTGGCTTCTCGGGGGGCTGGGGCAGAATCTGATGTGGGCACTGACCTTAGCTGGTGTTTTCCTTGGGATCAGATGAATGGGATCACCTGGGCCAGGGCCTGAGCACCCACAGAGGTGACTGCCAGGCGACCACCCCCCCCACACCCCGTTTCCAGGCATTTTTAGCATTGTGCTCCAGGTTGGAGCTGTGCCAGTCAGCAGGTGACGGGGACTTGTTTCCAGTCCCAATTCCTTCGTCATTTGCTGCTGCCTTGCTCAGAGCGTGAAGGGGACCAGGGGCAAGGTTGAATTGCCTTGGACTCATCCCAGGGGCTGGGAGCCAGTCGTCAGGTCTAGGCAGCGGCTGCTGGCCCCATATGGGGAGCAGCAGTGACCTGGCGGGGCGGGGGGTGCTCAGGGACCCACTGCTGAGGCGCTGTCTCCCAAGCCTGCTCGACAGGGATGTGCCCTTCCTTCCAGTCCACTTCCGCTACGTGGTGTTCCACCCGTTCCTGGATGAGATTCTCATCGGGAAGATCAAGGGCTGCAGCCCGGAGGGGGTGCACGGTAAGCCGCCCTTCCCCGGCCGGGCGGCACCGGAGAGCTCGGGTCCGAGACGCGGGCTCGGCCTCCCGGGCCCAGCAAGGGAGCGAGTGAGGTCCTCGGCCAGTGTCAGCTTCACAGTGAGGCTGTCACTCGGCTCTCGGGTGGCGCTGGAGCTGGCGGAGGGCCCTGGGGTGCCTGGCAGGTCTGTCTGAGGTTTTGGGGGCCAGGTGCTCGCAGCTTTTCCAGGGCTGCTCAGGCCGGGGTGGGCACAGCTCAGGGCTCGGAAGCCAGCAGGCCGGGTTCCTATGGTGGCGTCTGCCCCTTGGCGGCATGGAGTAAGGACCCGGGGCCAGGGCCATGCCATCACCTTCTCTTCGCCCAGTCTCCCTAGGGTTCTTCGATGACATCCTCATTCCCCCGGAGTCGCTGCAGCAGCCGGCCAAGTTGTATCCTCCCAAGGGCGGTGTGCAGTCCCTCGGGCCTGCTCAGGGCCTGCTCAGGGCCTGTGACCCGATGCTCCTGGCCTGCGTGCCTGCCCCCGCAGTACCTGGGGCTCTGCCCCCGCTAAGCCCGGTGACCTTGCCCCTGCGCCTGTCTGCGGGGCAGAGCTCAGCACTGTGCACCATCAGGGGCGTGGGCACCGGCCCCTTCCGGCTCACTTCGCTCAGGTGTCGCTGGGCAGGCACCTCACAGATCTCTTCTCGGGAGGGCCGCCCTGCTGGTCAGCTCCGCCCGGTGAGACCTGCGCCCGGCCGGGCCGTCCCCGCCCGAGGGTCTGTGTGCGGCCGCACCCAGTGCTCAGCAGGGCGGGACTGCCGCTAGGGGGCAGTGCGGCTCCGGGTGCGGGCGGGTGGGGCTCTCGGGGCGAGGAGATCCCTGGCTGGCGGCGGGAGCAGGGCCTGCGTGGCCCCGGGGTCAGCCAGGAGCCCGGGCCAGCCGCAGGCGGGAGGCCCCAGCCCACCGCCCTGTCCCTGTCCGCGGCTGGGTGGCTCTTGGAGGACCCCGCCCCCGCGCCTTGGTCCGGTTGTGGCCTTGACACCCGCCCCAGCGACGAGGCGGAGCAGGTGTGGGTGTGGGAGTACGAGACGGAGGAGGGCGCGCACGACCTGTACATGGACACCGGCGAGGACATCCGCTTCCGGGTGGTGGACGAGAGCTTCGTGGACACCTCGCCCACCGGGCCCAGGTCGGCCGAGGCCGCGGCCAGCGAGGAGCAGCCTCGGAAGGAGGCGCCGTACTCGCTCGTGGTGAGAGCCCGGCGCGGGCATGGGGGCGCGTGGCCGTGGGGCGGCTCCCGGGGGGCTGTGCTCCGGGAAGCCCCTCCGCCGCCTCTGGGCCCGGGCCCCTCTTGTGTGGGCCTGGCCTGTTGCCGAGGCCAGGAGGGCCGCGTGTTCTGCAGGGCGCGACCACAGGGTGACAGTTGGCAGAGATACTTAAGACGGGTGGGGGCGTCAGTCCCCTACCTGCAGGGCAGAGCCGATGCCAAAGGAAGTCCCAAGGGTTTTATTTTGGTGGGACTGGTGAACCCAGGGCATTTGCACTGAGCTACACTGCCAGCCCTTTTTTATGCTTATTTTGAGGCTGAGTCTCACTATGTAGCTCAGGCTGGCCTCAAGCTTGCAGTGATCCTCCTGCCTCAGCCCCAGTGTAAAACATGGGTGCTCTTTCTCCTTGGCAGGGGTCCATCATTGAGCCTGGGCTAGGCCTCCTCTCCTGGTGGACCAACAGCTAGCCTATCCCAGGCTCCACAGTGACCCTACCCAGGCCGTGGAAACCAGCAGTGAAGCGGATGCTGAGGAGTCTGCACCCCCTTGAGCTGCCCGGGGTGGGGGGTCCAGGAGCACCACCAACCAGCCCACCCCTACCACCCTGCCCTAATCTCCCAGAGTGATCTCTTGAAGTCCCTGCCCTAATCTCCCAGAGTGATCCTTCAAAGTCCCGCTGTCCCCATGGACTTTATTTTTGCAGCTGTGGGGATTAAACCCTGGCACTTGCACATACTAGGCATGTGCTCTTCCACTGAGCTATATCCCAGCACTTTTTGAGACAGTTCTGAGTAACTGTCCAAGATGGTCTCAACCTGAGATCTTCCCGCCTCAGCCTCCTGAATAGCTGGGATTATAGGCCAGGTCGTAAGAAACATTTAATAAACAATGGCAGATCAGCAAGGAAGGGCCGTACTCTTTTGTCTCAACAGCCAATATCATGATCTAAGGTCACTAAATGAATTGCCATGCTGGTCCACGCCACTTTTGGAGATGATGGTGAACCCCAAAGTGCAGAACCCGGGGCTGCAAGCTTCAGGCTGGACTGTGTGGTGAAACCCTGTCTCAGAAAGACAAAAAAAAAAGATTCAGGCTGGGCTCAGGGCTGGCTGAGCTTGTTGCTCCTGGGCCTGCTGGGTGCCCATGGGCTGGAACAGGAAGAGCACCCATTTCCCTCAGCATTTAAGTCAGCCAAGCCCGCTGTGGACCTGAGGGTGAGGCTGTGGGGTTCGCTGGCCCCACACCTGTGTCCAGGCCCAGAGCACAGCAGGAGCCTCTTGCAGCACAGCAGGGGCAGGGGCCGGGGGCCAGCAGGTGGCAGCTCCTTCCCACCAGCGAAGTTGTAGGGACTCATGTGGGGCTGCCGCCTGTGCAGGCGGATTGGGGCCAGAGGTGACAGACTTGTCTTGCTGCAGTGACCCTCCCTGAACCCTGGAGTTGACAACAAACAGCACAGACACCAGCCACTCTTCAGGAGCAGTCAGTGTTATTTTTCTTGCAAGAACAAAAGGTTCTCTGAGCTCCTTCGGCTGCCAGTTGGGACGATCAGGCAGAATAAAACCTTCTGTAAAAGGGAGTGTTGTCCTCAACAATAAATACAGTCGTACAGGGCCACCCAAGATTGGAACCAAACAATGCAGGACAGCAGGGGCTGCACCTCAGTGGCTGGGTACGGTTGGGAGGGCAGGAAGCAGGGCTGGTGGCGCCGTCTAGGAGCAGAAAGCCCGGTGAAGCCGGCGGCCCTGAGCGGCTGCGCGTCGGTGGCAGTGGCGGCTGGGCAGGCAGCGTCCTCACTGCTGCAGCTCCTTCATCCTGTTCAGGGCGCTGCCGGCGCGGAACCACTCTATCTGGGTCTCATTGAAGGTGTGGTTCAGCAGGATGGTCTCCTGTGTCCCATTGGGGTGCTTGATGACGCACGTGAGGGGCTGCGGGAGGAGGCAGGTGTGGGTGTGCAGCGGGGGGATCGGCAGCGGACGGGGCGCCCAGTGCTGGCTCCACCCCGGCTCTCCACGGCACCATCTAGGGGCACCCGCCCTCGCTTGCCCAGCCAGCTCGCCCTCCCGCGCGCCCCTGACCTTGCCGGGAGCAAAGTCCTTGAGGCCCTGAATGGTCAGCTTGTCCACGGGGTGGATCTTGTTGTAGTCGGCGGGGTCGGCGAAGGTGAGAGGCAGCAGGCCCTGCTTCTTCAAGTTGGTTTCTGGAGGGCAGTGGGTTGGTCAACAGGTGGCACTGGCCTCCCCCTGCCCAGGGAGCTGCCCTTCCTGACCGGTGAGGCCTCTGCTGGGACAGGCAGTGACTCCTGGGCTCATGTCACCAGGGGCATCAGCACAGGTGTGTGTGGTGCAGGCTGGGGCCTTGCTAGCAGACAGGGTCACGAGGGGAACAATTCCGACCGCGAGGCCTGTGCCGCACAGGCCTGAATTTCGAGCAGGAGCAGCGTGGCTTGGATCACGTGGGCGAGAGCCTGTGAAGGGGCCGCAGCGCTTCTGCCCTGGCTGCGCCCGCAGCGCAGGAGCCAGGCATGGGTTCTAGGCCTCGGTCAGCCACAGTGGGGCAGCTGACCCTTGGCTACAAGCAAAGGGTAGTGGACAGACAGCCAGGTGGACTCGGCTCACCATGGATCCTGGCGAAGCTCTTGGTGATGATGGCTCGGCCCCCAAGATGGCGCGGCTCCAAGGCCGCATGCTCTCGGCTTGAGCCCTCGCCGTAGTTCTCATCTCCGACCACCACCCACCTGATGCCGTGTTTCTGTGACAAGCGGGGACATGGTCACAAGGCCAAGGGCACCACGCTCACCTGCGCAGTACCCACCTGCCCGGCCCCTGGCAGCCAAAGTCAGGTGGATCAGGCCCAACAAGGCTCTGTGGGGCAAAGGCGGGCTGGCTGTGGCCCCGGCTGCCTGTCTGCAAACGCAGGAGATGTGAAACGCATGGGGCAGAGCAGGGGGAGACACCGCAGGGCCCTCAGTTGTAACCTCAGCGTGGCCCTGCCCCCCGCCCCTCCCCCTTGCTCCTGGGCTAGGCCTGTTCTTGGGGCCTCCCTGCCTGCTGCTGGTCTCTCCTTAGGCCTGGGAGGGCCATCCTCGCCCTGACTGCCCTAGGCCCCTCCGGGTCCTGCCTCCCCCCGTCAGGTCCTCGGGCTCCCCGGGGAGTGGCGCCAGCACCACCGTGAGCTGGCCTACCTTGTAGTAGCGGGCCGTGTCTGGCACAGGGCCAAACTCCTGGGTGACGGCATTGCGCACAGAGTTGGCCTTGCCGTTTTCAACGTTGATGGCGCCAATGAGCAGATTGTTGGAGATGTTGTCCAGGTGCCCACGGAATTTGAGCCAGGGGCCTGCAGCTGAAATGTGGTCAGTGGTGCACTTCCCTTTGACCTGAGGGGTGGGCAGAGGACAGTGGTCAGGACGCAGCCAGGAGGGGGAGGGGGCCCACGCTGGGACCTGGGGGCGGGGCTGGCGATGAAGGAAACACATCAGAGTCTGCGCACAGCCTGCAGCCCAAAGGCTCAGGCAGAGGCTGCGAGCCGCCGTCTCCAGGGCAGGACGGGCAACTCGGGCACAGGGAGGGCAGGGGCATCTCCAGGCTATGCCCTCCACTGGGAGCCGCCCAGCACTGAAGATGAGGCCTTGTGCTGGGCAGCGGGGAGCCAGGGCCACAGCTGGTCCTGCTGGTAGCTGATAAGTCTCTTGCTGCCTGGTAGGAGACCCTCGAGGCCCTTGGGCAAACAGGGTTAACGTCTGGCGAGGTCTGAGGACGCGGGCCGGCAGGAACACACGCGGAGCTGTTGGTCACAGTACAGGTGCGGGAACCGGCACGCTTCTTGCGGCCTCTCGCCTGCATGTCAGCTGACTGCACCCAGGCGGCTGAGCGCGCAGACCAGCTGGGCCCAGCCCCTCACCATGACACCGCCTGCTCCCGCTGGCGAGCCGAGTGCCCAGCGGGCCATGCTGACCTTGATGAGGATCTGCAGGTCCTCCAGGTCTTTGCCGTCCCATTTGTCGAAGGGCTCCAGGAGCTGCAGGCGCTGGCTAGTGGGGCTCACGTCCACCCGCTGCCCGCTGCTGTCCTTCGGGGGGTGCTGGTAGGTGTCTTGCCCTGGGTCAAACTCCTGCAGCAGGGGTGGGGACAGGTCAGGTACCCAGGTCCCCAGGGAAGCTCCCCACGCCCCAGGCGCCTTCTCTCTCTCTCTCTCAAGGCACAGCCGCCAAGGACAGCGGCACCCCTGCCTGCCGGGCTGGCGCAGAGGCACGGGTGCTGGGCAGGCAGCACCTGGGACGCCCGGGCTGGGCAGGCCCGGCTCACCGCTTGGGGCAGCTCATCTGCATCTGGAGCCTCCAGCTTGAACTTCTTCCCGTCTTTGCCTGTCAGGAAGTCGGTTTCTGGGTTGAATTTGAGTGTTCCCGCGATGGCCAGGGCTGTGACAATCTGAACAGAGGCCGTCGGTTTACGCCGGTCAGCACGCATCACCCATGTCCCCCCCCCAGAGCCCAGGAGATGCCCAGGCCACTGAACTCGGGGACCCCAGAGCCACTGCGGTATCTCCCCGAGGCCGGGCTGGTACGAGCTCTCCTGTCCCCCGCACCGATGTGCCCGTGATGGGAGCATCTCTGCTGGGCAGTGCGGAGAGGGAGGAAAAAGCATGGGCATCTCTGGAATGCACACCAACACTGGTGCAGGGGATGGAAGGCAGGAGAGCCGCCGCGGGCCGGGAGCACTTCAGCTCACTCTGCCCACACTGACAGCAGGCCCAACTTACACTCAACTCAGAAACAAGCTGCGGGGTGGGCACGTAAGTCAGGTTACTTGGGAAGCTGAGGCCAGAGAATCACGTAAGCCCAGGAGTTCAAGACTGGCCTGAGTAACACTGATTAAAAAAAAAGCAGCAGCAGCAGCTGGCAGTAGTGGGACAAACATGCCTGTAAGCCTGTAATCACAGGACTCTGAGAGGCTGAGGCAGGAAGAACTTGAGTTTGAGTTCAGCCTAGGCAATTCAGCAAGACCCTGTCTCAAAAAAGGCTGGGACTGTAGCTCGGTACAGAGGTCCCGCATTCAATCTTCAGTGTATTGGGAAGGAAAAAAAAAAACCCAAGTGTGGTGGTCTACAACTATAATCCCAGAACTTGAGAGGCTGAGGCAGGAGGATTGCTGCAAGTTCAAGGCCAGCCTGGACTACAGAGCAAGACCTTGTCTCAAAAAAAAGGAAGAAAGAGAAAAAGAAGAAAAATGGTGAACAAGGAAGCATCCTATGGTTGAAAGTCAGGGTCAGGACCTGAGCAAGCTCATGCAGCTGGTGAGAGGACAGAAAGCTGGCATCTGTCCCTGGAGTAAGAGTCCTCACTTTCTGCCCACACCCACTAACTGCTCCACAGAAATCTGGGGACCTGATGACATGAGGCAGCCCCGCCCTCCAAGGCAGCCCATGAGCTTGCACTCCTCTGACGTCAGGAGCAGGACTTCAGGGGTCCCGGCTATACCTAGCCAGGTGGCCTCACCTCTGGGGATGTGACGAAGGCATGGGTCTCCGGGTTTGCATCATTGCGGCCTGTGAAGTTCCTGTTGTAGGAGGTGACGATTGTGTTCTTCTCCCCCTTCTTGATGTCCTTCCTGTCAGGCCAGAGGGACAGGATTAGGGACAGCCGGCCTTGTCACCTGGCCTATCCCAGGACCACATGGGCCAGGTTCCTGAGGCGCATGCCCAGCTCGCAACTGAGGAAGGAAACAGACTTCTCACAGCACAGGAGCAGACCCTGGGTCGCCAGGGTTGTGTGTGACCGTGGAGGACAGAGGCAGAGCCCACACTGAGGCCTGGCGCTCCTGAGCAGAGTGGCACCCTCCTCAAGCGGCTCCCTCAAGCCCCTGCTGTGCCGTCGGCGTGTGGGCGCATGGGCTTCTCGCCCCAGCCCAGGCC